GGAGGAGGAGAAAAGGAGAGAGAGAGAGAAGGAGGAGAAGGAGAGGAGAGAGAGAGAGAGAGAGAGAGGAGAGAGAGAGAGAGAGAGAGAGAGAGAGAGAGAGAGAAGAGAGAGAGAGAGAGAGAGAGAGAGAGAGAGAGAGAGCAAGCGACGCGAGAGAGAGAGAGAGAGAGAAGAGAGGAGGAGAGAGAGAGAGAGAGAGAAGCGAGGGAGAGAAAAGAGAGAGAGGAGAGAGAGAGAGAGAGAGATGGATAGAGAAAGAGAGAGAAAACAGATATAGAGAGAACGACAACAAGAATAATAATACCTACTAATAATAATCATCATCATAATCACAATCATAATAATAACAACAACAACAACAACGACAATGACAACCATACAACAACACCACCACCAACAACAACAAACACAACCACACGCAGGGATCTGCAGTGAATTAGCCAGCTTGATGCGGATACGAGCTGGCCACCGCTAGCCGTACTTCTATTTGCAAAGCTACGCAAATATTTACGCGCTATTTAAATCGACTGCACCAAGGGCGAAGTTTTATTTCGACTGGAAATGAAAGCAATGCTTGTAAAAAAACTCGAGTCACTGCCTACGATTAGTTGCTGTTGCAGTGTGGGGCCAAGCAGTTCTGTGTATCGCACACAGCCGCACGCACACTCTCACACATACTGTTACATACACGCACGCACGCACGCGAGCAAGCACGCACACACTCACACAGACAATCACATACATGCACGCACACCCTCACACAGACATACACACGCGCGCGCAAATGCGCACGCGCACGTGTTCCCTATGCGTCCCTTCGCCTATGTACATGTGTATTCCTCACCCTCTACCCCCCTCCTTCTCCCTAAAGTTGCCCGCTAAATAGCAGAGGAGCTGCGAGCACGGAGAGATTATGTAGCCGTATCAAAACATCCAGCGGGGCGAATCCACGACCGACAGCTAGCGCAAGGCGAACACAGACGCGTGGTGCAAACACAGCGCAAAAACAGGAGGTATGCCAAGAGGCGTTTGGCATTATTTTTGTACGAGCTGATCTCAAACACGAGGGGATTGAGATGGGAATGACGGACGCGCTGCGGGGTTCCCCTTACGAGCTTTCGACACGGCGTCGGGTCCTTGTCGTAGTAAAACTCGCGCAAGCGTGGCTCTCCCTCCTCTCTCTATCGCACGTTACTCGCTCGTTTCTCTATATATGCACGAGTTCGTGCGCGGTATGCTGCGTGCAGCCACGGCGGCTTTTTGCGAACGCCACGGCCGACTAAACGCTCGTAAACCCACGATGGCGAGCTTCGGATTTCTGTCCGAGTAGAGGGTTAGTTCTCGACTTCGCATTACGGGCTTTACGGCCAAATCTGTTGTCATATAATCCGGTGTCACAAACGCGGCACACGTGCGCGCGGGCGCGTGCCTGCGTGACAGACATCTGGCATTACATACATGCTGCGCTAGCCGAAGCAGCTTTCACACCGCATTGATGTCAATGTGGCAGAACGGTTTGGATATCTAAGTTAAAGTGCGTGTGCAGTGTGTGTGTGTGTGTGTGTGTGGCAAGCGGATATGTCAACAAATTGTTTACAGTCTGTCAGACGAAGAACTGTAACACATAACTGCGAAGCACCGTACAAGTAAGACGTGTCATCCTTGCAAAGATTACAAACAGAGGGGGAGGAGATATGATATATTAATCATGCAGTATCAGGGTTACTACATGCTTATTGTACCTGCAAAGTTACAATATCTTATCTGGAGCGTAGGGGGTCTGGGTCCCTCGCCAACCTAAACCAAGAGTCATACTACTAGTGCTGAGAGATGTATGCTGCTACACGCGCTAGACACAGTCTGCATAGGCGGCAAATGGTAAATCAACACATATATCGAATCAAGAGTCCCATCGTTGAATAGTCTCTTGATTGGGTCGGTCGATATCGGATTACACTTAGCGTGTCGATTTTACAAACATGAAACGCCCGAGAGCAATATTTTTCGCCGCGTTAGAACGAGATGCTGAAACGTTTCCCCCTAATCAAAAAAATACATAGCGGCTCATGTATTGACAATATTCGACATGCCTATTCCGGGACTTCCGAATGGTCGATTCTTGACCTATCAGAGCCAGCCCCCCTGCCGTCGCCAATAGACAGATTTTCTCGCCAAGCTAAGCTTCGTTGATTGATCCTATCCGAGATGTACTTTAAATTGGCAACACGTGCGTGTGAAGGCATCTGCGTTGAATGACCAGAGGCTAGCTACGGGGCTGTCAACACATGTGGCAGTGTCACGAGCCGAACACGAGGGCAGAAAACTATACAGCCCGTAGAAACGTGTGTAGCAATCGACAAAGCAGTCGATCCTGAATTCTCCCCACACGGATCCCAGTAAACAGCCACCCTACACGCAAGCGCTGTACCGGAGACCTTTACAGACCTGCCCGCACGCGCGCGCACTTACCGTAAAACATATATTTATCTGTCCGGGTCTAACCGTTATCGTCATCAGCGATGAACGCAAATGGGGGCATTGACGTTGGCGAGAAATCGCACGGAAACGTGTAAATTAATACAACTATTTCGACGCTGATGTGTGTGTGGCAGTCGATGCCGATGCTGGTATAAAGGTGATGGATGCTGCAAAGGTGAATCCCCATAAACGGGAAGCTCGTTAGATGACAGCATCCGGCAGTCGTTCAGCCTCCCCCCCCCGTAATAAAAGCATAACTCATTACTTAACAAATCTAACAGAGCTAATCGATACACGGCGTAAGCGTCGACGACAGTGCGACGGTGATGCTGTGGCGACCCAAGTAACCGCATCTCGACGCCCTTAGCAACCGTATCCCGACACTCAGCCTCCGTGTGACCGGTCGTCGCGCTGCAGCGACGGGCTGTTTCGCGACTCACCATAGTGCTTCGCCGTTTCCACAGTAACCGTTCTCAGCTCAAAGTCCGCCAGCAGGTCTCGAATCTCCTGAAAAATGAATGTCGACGCGTTTTAATTATTGAGAGCGTATCGGGATGAATGGCCGAGCGAATTGTGCGTGCGTGTGCGCGTCTGTGAGGCGGGTCCACTGTATACCCCTCCCCCCACCGATAGCGAGAACGAGCCTTCAGTTTGTTAAAAAAATGTCAGGCTTATACACAGCATATATGGAGTGTGTATACACGTTTAAACGCGGCTATTTTTTCAATCTTGAAAAAAAAAACACAATTACCGTGAAACAAGTTTACCGGGGCGCGCCATGCTTCGTTGTGGGGCGTGGTGGCACAGCGAAAATCGACAAAAACATCGCCGCTTTCCAGCAACTAGTAAACAAACGTCCCAGGAAAGCGCGCAGTGGCACGACACTGGTAGAAAAGGGGAGGAGTGGGTCCTGTACGAGAAATTCCACTTAAAACGCCCGTGTCTCGAACACCCGACTCTCAACAGCGGCGAAGAAGACTTCTATAGAAAGACGACTTTACATCTAGTCTCTATAGAGCGTGTTCGCTGCGTATATCGATGGCCCCGTACAGATATAGCGTGAGTGCAGGGAGCGACTGGCGCACCGCACGCCACGTGTCGTCGTGTTTGCTCGTAAAACGAGTGGTTAGGGCTGGTCTAGTGAGCCATTATTGAGGTGATTCGCATGTTTTTGTTGCCGAGTTTGCCGCCCGTCACCTTAAATCACGGCGCAGTTAATGAAAGTCAACAGCTTTCAGCAGCAATCAGTGTAAATGCGTGCGCGCGCGTGTGCGTGCGTGTGTGCGTACGTGTGAGTGCGTGTGTGTGAGTGTGTGTGTGCGTGCGTGCGTGTTCGTGTTCGTAAGCACGCACGCGATTGGCCAATATCATCTATATGACATATCGATAATTTTTCAATTGTTTAAAAGCAATTATGAGGTTTTCACTTATTTCTACTAGCGAACAGCGAACAATTAAAATGCGGCAAGTACTATAAATAGACGTATAATATTTAACTAAAAATATATGTAAAACCAGTGTAGTATTATCATTTAACGGAATTGGAAATGGACTCAACAGAAAATAAAGCTGAAAGCTATAGTATTTTTAGTCATTCAGAACCCAAACACTCGGTTTTGTTTATCATTGAAACACAACGATGGAGCGAAACGTTCGCCGTGCAGTAAGTAAATCCCAATAAAATCATAGAACACATCAACACGGCGTCACGCAACATTAATTAAGCTCATTAGTGACTACATTACAGCCACCTCTCACCTCCCTCTCACCTCTCGCAATCCCGCCTCCTCTCTCTCTCTCTCTCTCTCTCTCTCTTTCTCTCTCTCGCTCGCGCGCTCTCTCTCGCTCGCGCTCTCTCTCACACACACCCTCTCCCTCCTTCTCTTCTCTTCCCTTCTATATCTTTCTCTCTTCTTATATCTCTTTCTCCCCTTCCCTCTCGACGAGCAGATGGTTCATGTTTTAATCAGAGAGGACGCGTCAACAATCACACGCGAACGCGATGCGTCGCCGTGCGCGTGCCCGTACGCTACGATAACAAACTGCATGGCCGCAGGCCAATTGCCGATTGACTCGCTCCTCGGCTATCTCTACGGTATTCGTTGCGCAGCTCTGCGTGCGTGCGCGTACGTGTGCTGTATTGTAAGCCAAGCCGTCGCGAAGTGCTGCGCTGCTCTGCTGCTGGTGATGCTGTCGGTGGCAGGCTGCAGGCTCGGAATGAAGCACGCGGCTTAATTATTTACCGCACGCGCCCGCTATAAGATGGCATTACGCCCGAAGTGACGCGAGAAGAAGCGAGAAAGAATGAGAGAAGAATTGCCGCCGCGTCTACGCGACGAAACCAATGCGATGGAAGCGTTCAATTTTCATACTGACAGGATACGACCTTGCCCACTGCGTGGGAGGCGAGTGGTTGCGTCTACGAGACGTAAACCTCCACATCCTACACGAGGCCATCCTCTTATCCCACACGATGCTCTCCCCCCTATCCCAAATGATTCCCTCCCCTTATCCCAGACGATGCCCTCCCCTTATCCCACAAGAACTGTGGATGAGCGAAGGGGAGAGATGCATCTGCGGGGGAACCACAAAGGAAGGCTTCATATTCCACAGCCACGCACTCCCCCATCCTACAGGATGCTACACTTCCCCCCTACGGACAGGATTATACGTACCAGTACTTGATACTAGAAAACGATGCACCTCTTCACTCCCAGAAGTTTCACCGGCCAGCCTGAGTGAAGCTAACGGGACGATTCCCTTTCCCTTTCCCGAAGGAACACACTCCTCCCTTCCTATAAATATGTACGTGCACACTCGCTGACAACCCAACACGTTCGTAATAGTGAGAGATAGCACGATATGCAATCATAACACGATTATCAGTGAAGCCATGTCACCACGCCCGTGTATTGCTGCTGCTGCTGCTGCTGCTGCTGCTGCTGCTGATGGGGGTGATAGTGAAGGTGGTGATTGTGGTGGTGGTGGTGATGATGCTGCTGCTAGTGGTGGTGCTGCTGCTAGTGGTGGTGCTGCTGCTAGTGGTGGGGTGGTGGTGGTGATGCTGCTGCTAGTGGTGGTGGTGATGCTGCTGCTAGTGGTGGTGGTGATGCTGCTGCTAGTGGTGGTGGTGGTGCTGCTGCTAGTGGTGGTGCTGCTGCTAGGGGTGGGTGGTGGTGGTGATGCTGCTGCTAGTGGTGGTGGTGATGCTGCTGCTAGTGGTGGTGGTGGTGCTTCTGCTAGTGGTGGGGTGGCGGTGGTGGTGTTGGTGGCGATGCAATGTGTTTTACACTGGCATAGCCTATAGAAACACCTACAGTCGATATAACCGACAGAATGCGCACGAGCGCGTGCTTCCGTGCGTCAGTAGCCGCCGCGGAAACACAGATCAAAACTCGCATCTCGTCTCATCCGTTACTCGTGCCGCCGCCTTACTACAGCTCAAGAAAATCCTTCACGCAACTCACCGGCCTAGCTCGCCTGCAAAGAACATTGCAGTACGGTGGCCCATACACCCATTAAATTCTTCACTAAAAGCAATGATTATCACTAACTCTCTCGAGTTTTTTTTATCCGACAGCTCGATGATGTACTAGCTGGGGGATATGATAAGCAATCTGGGGCCACCAGTACTACAAAACTCTCCCCCAGTCCTCGACCGCTGCCTTCCGCACCCCGTTCCGGTGCGCATGCATATACAAGCGCGTCCCGGTCCTATAGCAGCAGCAGGCGGCCGTTCCCATCGCAGTTCAAGAAGCCAGCGATATGAGCGTTAGAGTTATTTCAAGACAGCCGCCGGCAAGGGTAAACAGCGTCGAAGCCTCTCTATGTTTGTTTTGCTACGAGAGGAGGGCTACGTTATACCTGCAGTCGGTCATTTCTCTACTCGAGAAAACTGTGGCGAGCGCGTAATGGACATTCTTTCATTTCGGGAAGGTTTATTGATTCTAGGAGCTGCGAAATCGAATCGCACCGAGGAATGTGAGGTCCGACGAGCGCTGCGACGAATTCAGGCTTAGGAAGAAAATGGCACTTTAGTGAAGAGAGAGAGAGCGAGAGAGAGAGAGAGAGAGAGAGAGAGAGAGAGAGAGAGAGAGAGAGAGAGAGAGAGAGAGAGAGAGAGAGAGAGAGAGAGAGATGGCGGAGAAGAGTGGGATTGTCAGGAGATAGGCAAATTGGCTCTATTTTTTTGCGAATCATAAAGCATCTGGAATGCCTTTTTTCGAATGCAATGTCTGCGGTTGATCGTACAGAGATCACGTATAGCTAATGCCACCTTTTTTATTTTTTTCTCATTGGCAATCGTGTAGTTTAGGGCAGGCGTGTTCCCTCAACTCCACCGCAAACCCAGCTATTTCGAACGTAACGTAGTAACGTAATAACTGCGCAAAGCCCCTCGCCACCTCATCGTAGCGCGCAATCTAGCCGCGTTATGTGGGAATTTTCATCTACATACAAGTGCTAAATCAACGTTACTACTTATTTTTTTAAGTAAGACAGTTAAATATTAGGACGCACGCGCCCACACACGTGCAACACAGACCTGCCTACCTCACAGAGACATTACACGGTGGCACGCAGTACACACACACATAATATATATAATTAATATATATATGGATAATAATGGAGATCCCGCCGTCCTAATAGCTATACTCTGCCATGTACGGATACTTAAACAGATACCTTCACGAACGTGCTGGCAGTAGTGAGGCATAGTAATACCCCGGCCATTTAGAGGAAGGTCCGCGTAAGGGAGAGTTCTAAGAACAAATTTTTCCCGACGAGTGCTAATTGTTAACGCTATGGGCCAATGCAGTTAAGCGGGCACGGCGATCCACGTTACGGCCTACATTGATAACACGCGTGCAGATGCCGTAGAAACATCATGCTGCGTCAAGATCAAACATCTATCACATGCATGCATTGCATATGGCCATTTGATCACCAAAACAGTTGTGTTTAGGGTTGTGCTATAGCTCCACTGG